GTCACATACAGCTAGAGCAATTTTGTGTCTAAAATCATGGATTCAAAATCAAATCCAATAGTAAATAATGCTTGATTGAAATAAAATAAATTTAATGAGTTAAAATCTATGTGCGTAATTCATATTTCAAAAGTTTTATTCGGGACCGAGACCAGGTCGGGCCAACGCAACTTAATCTCGATGGATCCTGAATTAATTCAATTCGAAACTTAGCGTAACAACATCACTTTTTTTTGGATATGTTAGTTGGATCATCTAAATAATCTTGCGCTTTGAAAGTTTCAGTCACGGTTTACTTAATAGCATCTACTTTTTTTATTATTTTTTCCAAAATGTCATCCAGCTCCTATTCTTAAAAATGGTGTCATTTACGTTCCACTATTTTAAATTCTGATTTTTTCCATTATTGAATTCTTCCGTGAAGTCAAGTTCAGAAGCATCCACTTTCCAATCTTTACTTGTTCCATTAAAGCATTAGAATTTTTTTAAAAATAAGCAACGAAATGTAAATCACTATCGATTACTTCTCAGTTAGCATCCTCTTCATTAATCCTTATCCAAGTCAACATTTAATTCGGAATATTCTTTCCGAAAACTGACTAATGGTATTGTCTTCTTTTTGTACTTCTTTTATTTCCCAGTACTTTTATTTATAATCATACCCTTGGTTGAGAGATAAGCTTATATCATTTTTCTCATACTGCTAGTAATTAATAATATTCGATTATCTGTGACAATTCGAAGGAAGAAACCAGTAAAACCAGCTTTTCTTTAAATTAGAAAATAATTTCTCTGCTTTATCGTAGTCTTCATTATAAAGTTTAAATGGATTGTGTTGTTCCTAAATTATTATTTAAGCGAAATTTGAACTTGAGTTTGTTTTTGAATAAACCTTTCTTTTTCGGTTTTAATCTTTTTGTTTCAATAGAGATATTTGATTTTTCTTTTTGAGATTTTTCATTAAATTCAAATAAAACGATATCTTTTTAGAAAAAAATAAATAGTGTACAACATATATAAGTTACTGCATACGGAGCATGCAATGATGGAAACCATTCAGTCTAAATATTTCGTAATTCTGCATTCAATAATTTGTTTATTGTATGTCTGACCAAGACATTTTGAAATTCAATCGGCAGGAATCGGCACGTGCTAACCAAATCTGGCAGATAATTTCTAAAATTAGTATTAGACTAGTTTTATGTATTAAGGAGCAGTCGAATTCCAACACTGATTATTATGATTATTTAATTTTATTTTATTTGCAAAACCTTTATTGGTCGAACAAATTATTTAAATAAATTAATTTTATTGGCTTAAAGATCATTACGCAGTTTGGAAACAATGGAAAGGAGATTTAGTTCGGAATGAAATCAAATGAATTTCAAGTTGATGCAAGAAAATTCTAAATAAAAATATTATTATAATATTTATTTATCTGGATCATAGACTTGGTTTTTTGTTATACAGTCTAATACATTATTTACTCTTCATTGACTTCATCAAATCAATGTTTTATCTATATAATATGTATCTGTCGTTTTCTTATAAGTTAAAAAAAAAGAATATAAATATAAATATAAATATGTTTTTTTAATTACATGCATCACTTCATAATTATCCCTTAAACGGTTTTCGGCTATTAATAGTCGAAATTTTTTTTCTGTTATAAAAACTTTTCCTGAAGGTATCACTTCCTAATACGAAAATGATCTTTGAGATTCGGCTGATTGATCTGTGAATAAAAATTCGGTTGTTGTCCTTGTGATTTTTGTAAAATATTCCTTAAAAGTTGGTCAATTCTATTTTTACTTTGCAGATCGTTAAATTGGCCAATAAGAATGCAAGGTAAAATCATTTTGTGTTACCATTAAAGAATACTTTGACCGTTTAAGAGATATATAGTAATAATAAAATCATGATAATTGGACTAATTCGATAAATTCATAACTCTCTGACTTTTTGTATATGTCACCATATATGAAATCTCGCTCAGCCATTTGAACGTAATGAACAATGGACCATAATGAAGAGATTAATAGTGGTGTTCATGTGTTCTTGTTTTATTAAATAATACTAATACAAAAATTAACTCTTTTAAGTTTGACCTTGCATTCTATTTAGACTCAGTAGATACAAGTCTTGGAGCAACCACAACATCAAGAGAATAGATCGTAAAAAGAAGCAAGTTACATTCTTGTTGAATGTTGATGATTGTCATAGATTCATGTCCAGAGACAATATGATACTACCAGTATATCAAGCACAAAATCAGCATCCTTTAATTAATAAAACTTTTGTTACTTCTAGGAAACCATCTACAAACATTTTTGCAATTACGTATATTGTGATTACACTAATTATACTAATTTGAATAATTGTATTGTACTCATGTTATCACAATCATTGTCTATAAAGGTGGCAATCTAAATGTTTGATATCTTAAGTCGAAATCAAAAAAAATGACAACACACTAAAAGAAAGTATGATGAAAATATTAAATGAAAATGAATTTATTGAAAATAACAAAAATACAGTTGATGATGATCTGGGTAATGTAAAATCAGCAACTGATGATGTGACAACAATGGAAATTTTATTAGAACATGTAAAAAAAATTTTTTGGGTTGTAAATTTTGTTTTTATTAAATAAGTTTGTTTGATTTTTTCATACATTGTTCATGTTTTTGTCTTAATTGTATATCTTAAATTGATTGTATTTACAATCAATTCGCTGACATTCATTATATTAAGGTTATTTTGATTATATCAAGAGAAATGGCTAAGAGAAGAGTTAGGAAGAGTTATTCTTCAACCAACTTGAAAACCAAGCCTTTAAATCCATTTTAGAGTAGTACAACTTAATTTATTAGACCATTTCAAAGGTTCGTTGCATGGTTGCTTCCAACTTCTTAAATTCGAACCATTTTGTTAACAAACAATTGTTGGTGAAGTGATTGTTGACGAACCAACATTTATTTTTACGTTACCAAATTCATGATTTTAATTGGCCAATCAACAATTGCACGGGTTAAAATTTCGTGTTACCAGAATGGTCTCTCCTGTTGATCTGATGTAAATGAGTTTCATATTAACTATTTTTGTCTAGATAAATTTCATGATGTTAAAAAAAACAATATTGATTCCTGAAATCATTGCTAATGTTCATTTTGTTGCAAGCATGCCCCATATCACTTAAAATAACAAATGGGATATTATAAAACAATTAATTATAATCACATTACAAATGACTAAATTTTGATCCCTGAAATTCTTCAAATATTTGTAAATATGTTAATGAGACCAATTCGCAATCAAATGACATACACTCTTTGATAATAATGACAAGAATTCTCAACCTTCACAATTGTGAGATGTCTCCATTACATGCATAAAGAATTAAAATGAAAAAAAGTGTTTATTTCCTAAATGGTACAAATCATGTGTTTATTATTATATTGTGTAACGGTTGTAATTTCACACATCCGTTAATATTAAAGATTTTCTACACATAAAATGACTATATTAATAATTAAAAAAGTTAACTAAAAAAAATATATATATATTATATTAATTATTAAAATATACAAATTCCCCGTTTATTTAAAATTAATCCTCTAAAAAAAAATAATCAATATATTGTTTTTTTTTAACTTGTAGTATTCTGTTCAGTTGTTGTATCTTTGTTTTTTTCTTTTATTTTACTTAAAGCAACTTGTATAGCCGCTAACCATGCAACTTGTGTTTCATCATTTGGTGCACAACATACATAAGTTCTTCTAGGTGTAATAACTTTGAAACAATATAATTTTGATTTAGAAATTGGTTCTATTTCAATTGCATCAAGGACGTCAATCAGATTTATACTCAAATGAGGTTTGAGATCCTATAAGATTGATATGAAAGCATAATCAATTAATCGTTAAATCAAATACAAATGAAAACAATTGTTGTAATTATTTTATATTTTGTACTTACTTTTTTATCTTTATAATAAACCAATTTATTATTTTTCAATTCAAACCATCTTTTTTTCCAAATTTTCTAAATAAATAAATATAATACATATAATTATATAAATATGTTGTAATTTACACACGTATATAATGTACATATCTATATATAAACACACATGCATGGAAATTTTAAATACCTTGTATCTATCCAATTTATAAAGATACCCTTGATGAATTATTCGGGACTTCTCATCTCCTTCATTATTTTCATCATTTTCATCATTAGTTACATCCATGACATCATTTTCTTCCTCAGAAGAAGCTGTTCTATCACTACTATTTTGTCTTTTAGGAGGAGAATTCGTTGCAAATGGACTTGATGGTGATGATGATGCATTTGGAACAGAACCTCCCGAAGTATAGGATGAAGCAGAAACATAGGAATGTGGTCCTTCTACATTATCGAATGTTTGTTGTTGTTGTTGTTGTTGTTGCTTTTTTTGTAAATTTGGGATGTCGATTGCTGTTGTTTTTTCTACAGAAGATAAAGGCAATTGTTTATCTAAGGCCGGTGATTGTGAGGAAGGCATTTGAACTTTTTTCATCTCTCTTTTTGACAATGATGGAGATCTTTTTAATTCTCTTGATGCTTCTTCACTATCTGCTTGACTTCCTTCATCTAATAATTCTTCATCTTGTACTTCTTTTTTAACTTTATTTATTGCTTCAACCCATTCATCAAGCATTTTTTTACTTTCTGCTTGAACATAATATGTACGTTTAGGAGTGACAATTCCAAATACATTTTGTTTATTTTTTAAATTTACTTCTGTCACAGCATGAACGTCATGCATATCTAAACTTCTCAAAAGTTCATACTCCTAATAAATAAATAATAAATAAATAAATAAATAAATAAATAAATAATAAAAATATTAATATGTGAAATATTTGTTGTCGTTATAGTTATTAATATTTAATAAATCACATGCTTAATTAGTTACCTTTTCACTTTTATAATATGCCAATTTAGTTGACCTTAAAACAAACCATCTTCTTTTCCAATTCTAATAATTATAATTATAATTATCATTATATTTTTTATTGCAAGCTTGTATGAAAAACACTGTGATAATTTTAAAACAGTTAATATAATTTTAATTACTTTTCCCTGGACTTTTCTTTTCCCTCGTTTTTTAGCAAGATAACCCGCTTTTATTAATTTCTCATGTTGTAATGTTTCTCGTGCTTCTAAATTTTTTGCTTTGTCTTCAGGTTCAGTTTCATCTCCTTGTCTCTGGACCGAATTATGATTGATAAACTCTATTTCTGAATCCGAGGTGTCAGAAAATAGTGCGTCTTTGTTATTCTTTTGGGAAATAAAAAAAAAAAATCAATATTTTTGAAACAAAATGTAAAATAAATATCATATTTTTTTGAATTTAATACCTTTTGAGTTGGATCAATGTTGTCTTCGTTGTTGCTATAATCATCATCGATGTTGTTGTCGTCATTTTTGAAATCGTTCTTTTGTGATAAAATTTCAACATGTGTGTCCATTGTGGTATAATTTTTTACTTTAAAGACTGGTAAATCGTTAATATAATATTTCATAAATAATACAAAATGTTGTTATAATAGTAAATACCTGAAATAGGGTTTAGTACTTGGACAGAAGATGGAGAATCGGTCATGCCTGTGTTAACAAACTCGACAAATAGTATATGTTTAAAGTTTATTATTATTATATATATATATACAAAAACAAAACTCTTGCTGTGAAAAATTCTTGTAATGTAAAATTAAAATGTAAAATTAAAATAATTAAAATGTAAAATTTAAATATAAAATTAAATAATAAAAAAAGAATAAGTATACAGGTAAGAAAGAATGAATCAAAGTGAATTTAATTTAATTTAATTTAATTAATAGTAAAATGTTACTTGTAACACAATAAGGGAAATCGTGCGTATCGAAAAAATATCGATTTCCCACACAACTTTACATACTAGATTTTTTTTCCTTGCATATTGGAGAACTATTGGCGTTTATTAATTATTTTTTTTTTGATTTATAATTTAAAGTTGTAATGGGCAAGCATTAGACCATTAGCTAATACTCTACTAGGTTTGTATTAAAATCTTGCGGTGTTGCAACATTATAAAATTTTGGCATGGACAAATCGAAGAATTCATTGATCTCAGTGGATAAAAATAGCTCATATAAAGTAAAGTCAAGTTTGTAATAAAAGAGTGGTCCATCAAAATTAGCCGAATTCTCTGAACATAAAGTGTCTCATTACCAACTTGCTTTAATTTTTGTATGCAAAATCAGCATTCATAAGCTGTTCTTATTTGTGAACAACTCGCGGCAGGAAGTTACTTCAGAAAAAAAGATGATGATTATATTATATTTGATTTTTACTAATTCCGTCAGGATCAATAGGAGTTTTGGGAAAGTGGGACAGTTGTTTTTTATTTTGGTGGATTCAATCGCTACTTCCTGTTAAGGGATTTAATGGCTATTTATCAAAGAAAGGTAAAAAAGGTCGCTCTTGGATTTATGCTTATATAACTTTCTAATTGTTTGCGCAATCTTTTGTGATATTAATGAATCTACTCTTTCAAATAAATTTTTGTAGCATCTGTGAAATAAAAACATAAATCTCTATTTCACTAGGTATAATTGTTCAAGTTGGCGTCTGCAATTGTTTCGCGATCTTTCCATTAAAAATTATTAATTAATCACAAACAAGATGAAAAAGTAAAACACATGGTTTATTTTATCTATATTTTTAATGTTTTATTTTTCTAGTAAATAATATAATATTAATAAAATCTATATTGTAAAATTATTATAAAATTAACACTCTTTTTATATCCAAAATTCAATCATCGTCATTCATATCTTTGTCGTCTTCATCATTTTCATCATCATTTTTATTTTCACCATCATTTTTATTTTCATCATCATTTTTATTTTCATTATCATTTTTATTTTCATTATTAACATCATCATCTATAGCCATAGCTTCTTTATCCATTTTGGCTTTTTGTTCTTTTGCATATTGCAGTTGTTCTTGCATCATTTGGTATACATATTCTCCAATATGTGTGACATCCAATATTGTAAAAGGATCACTATAATCAGTAACCTTGAAAAAAATATATATATATTATTATATAATATTATATAAATATTTAATAAACAAGATAATAAAAAATCAGGAAAAATAAATTTACTTACGTCTCTATCAGAGGGGAACATCTCATTAACTTTAATTTGTAATGTATCGGGTCTTTCCAACAATTTATTCAATGTTGGTGTCAACTCGTAACAATTTTCAAATAGTTTTTTCCTACAAAATACATATAGTCCTAATCTTGCACGTGAAAATGCTACAATTAATCGTCTGACATCTCGAATGTGACCAACTGATTTTGTACGAACCAAAGATAATAAAATATCTATTTTACACAAATATATATGTATAAGCAATTAAACACGTAAATTTAAAAAAGTGATCAAGAATAATAGTATTAAATGTAAAAAATTTATTATTAACTTACAATCATTCTGTTGACCTTGATATTTATCAACTGTTGTAACTTTAGCTGGTTTACCAAATAATGGATTCCAGGAACATCTTTGATTTAATACATCTCTTATCAAAGCCTTTTGTCCATTATAAGTTGTTAAAATTGTTATTTTATTTGCCGGGTACCTATTATTATAATATAATTAATAATAGGAAATGGTGATAATTTTGCTAATGATAATTTAAAGATTTATCTAAAAAAATGTTTTGTTTGTTTGTTTGTTTATTCATTACCCTAATAATCTCATATATTGATATACTGCTACAATATATTCTGCTTCACCAAGGTTCTAAAATAAATGATAAATTTGTATCTTGAATAAAAAAAACTAATAATAGTTTAATTAAAAAAAAATTTTTTCTTCTTTTACCTGATAAAAATATGGAACTGGCTCCGTTTCACCTTTATTTTGATAATTTTCAACATTTATTAATTGATAATCATATATTAATCTAATTTCAATATCATATTGATATATTTAGAACAATCAAATATATGTGATTAAATATTCAATAAAAATAATCTTTAAACAAAATTTTTTATTTTACCCTGCATTAGCCAATTGATATTCTTTTTGATCAGTCACAACTGATAAATTTCCTAAGTTTGTATATTTCCAATTATATAATTGAGCAATAGATGGTCTTGAACGTCCCTAATAAATGTAATTATAAAGATAAAAAAAGAAAAAGTTTGTTTTCAAATTTTTTTTTTTTAAGAAAGGAGGAAATATATTTTAATAAGTGAATGAATTAAATACTTGAGCATCAAGATCAATAGTTGGAACTCCAAGTCTAACAAATCTAGTGAATAAACTTTGTTCCATGTTACCATATTGTTGAAATGCCATATTTTTAACAACAGGTGGCAATTGATTATGATCTCCAATCAGTATCACCCTTTTCAATCTACTTATACCATCTTCGGTTTCTTGTAATAACAGTGGGATAAAAGTTTCAACTTCCAATATTTGTGCTGCTTCTTCCATTATTATATTATCATATTTAAATCGTAAAGAAACTAATTCACGTCTCTACATATCATTGTTTTTTTTTTAATAAATTTAATTAATTAATAATAATAATGATATGTTTTTCAATATAAAACAAAAGAAATTACTTTAAGTGCAGCATGAGTACAAGTCATTGCAATAATTTTAGCTTCTTTAGTTAACAAATAATTAGCTCGATCATAACTGGTTCTCAATAGTTCAAATCCACGAATTTCCTCAATCTCTGTGAAAATTTTTTCGATATGCCTGAAACAACCTTCAGCTATCTCCAGTGTTTCAGCATAACTCGCATCATTGGGAAATAAAGGTTGTGGTGCATCATAAAAATAGTTGGTAAAGGGAAACTGATTGATTATGATTGATTTTTCGTCAACAGAAACATTGCCGTCATCACTTTTTTCTTCTAATCCTTGTCTACACTTGTCTATATATGGTTCCCATCTTGATAATACATGATATAAATAAAAATATCCTGCTGTCTCGCATGTATAACCATGTTCACCACCGATTTCCAATGATTCTGCTAGTCTACTTACTTCAGCCAACAACGCAAGTCGTTTTTCCTAACATATCATAAAACATATATAAATCAATAAATAATAATATTTTTTTTTTTGGGGGGAGAAATAGTAGTTATTACCTACCAAAAACGAATTAACTCTACCATATTTACTAAAACTTAACTCAGTGTTAAGTTCTTCCTCACCATGACCCAAACGTAATAAATGACGCTCATCAACATCTAGATCAATATCATTAATTCAAGATGATAACTTAATATCCAAACTTGTAAATTATATAATGGATATGTATTTTTAAAAAACTTGTTATTACCTAATGCCATAATTTTTTCAAATAATTGATTTAATGCCTGATTACTATGAGTGACCAATAATGTATGCTGATCAGGAAAGTTATGATATATATTTGCTATAATCTGAACTGTCACATCAGTTTTACCAGTACCCGGAGGTCCAACTACTAATGTAAGACCTGGATTTGTACCTGCCTTTATGGCCTCCACTATTTAAAAAAGAATTAAAATACAAGATTGGCTGGTATACAATTTAATCAACTATATAATATATTTACCTTGTGCAGGAGTAAATCTGATTAAATTTTTTTTTGGTTGATTAAATGGATAAGGTCCCATATTTGGCAAACTGTAAGTTTTTACAGTTATTTGATTTTGATTTGAAGAATCTTTTACACTATCAGCATCTTTTCTCTTTAAAGATTTTACATTATTTTGAGGTTCAGGAAATTGAAGTACATAAGGTGGTGGTATAGGTTCTTTGTATCCATCTGCAGGCACAATTTTCTAAACAAAACAATATAGCGAGTGAGTGAAAAAAAAGCAAATTAAGTTCCAAATTTCCAAATTTTAAATTACTTACCATTCCTGGAAAACTTTCAATCAAATGATCATAATCCAAGAAAGTATCACGGAAATCAATTTCTTTTGGTAGATTTGGCATCATAGTGTAATGAGCACTACCTGGATGACCGTAACCTAAAAATATATTATGCAACCAATCCGGAACAACTAATTCGCTTTGCATTAAATCACGAATAGTTTCAAGAACAGCTTTAAAATTATTTTCCTATAATGACAAAAAAAAAGTAAAATGAATAAATAATTTTTATCTGATTTATTATTCTAGAATAGCTTTCAGGAAAATAAATAAATACCTTTGGTTTCCTTCTCATTAAAATATTAAAAGTTTCATATACATCCTCTTGCTTTTTATTAGAGAAACGGTCCATGTCGAACTATTAATAATAATTATTAAAATATTAATGATGAAGACAAAATAATGATAGTGACAATAGTAAAAAAAAAGTAGAATAATAATAAAGGAAATTTAGCTATCTATTCATAGTTACTAAAAAAAAAACCAAAATTATTTTAAGATAAAACTTACTTGAGAGTTATTAAAATTTTTTTCAAAAGTTCACCATAATGCATTATTTGTGTTAAAATTTTTGAGTCAATCAATGATAACATGTAGAAAAATTATGATCAATCTCTTATAAAGTCAAGGTTATTTTTTTTTTCAAGAATTTTTAAAATGACATTTTTTTTTGATTTGATCCAATTTCCAGAAATATACATTGAAGAGCCATTTGATCTTATGTTTCATTAAATCCCATTTCTTTGGGATTGTTTGATTATTCTGTAGCAGACCTAACTCATGGAGTTCAGCACAATTCTAAATTGTATTTCAAGAAGATTGTTATTTCTTCACTAGTCCAGTTTCTATATTCACCATATAAAGCTGGACCATTTTCTTCATCATAATTAATGTTATCTACTTCATCGATCACCATTTGTACTCCAACGGATTCTTCATTTTGTCCCTCCTCCTCCTCCTCCTCCTCCTTTTCCTTTTTACTGTCACTATTACCTGGCCTGTTTCAAAATAATATAATTTAACTGTATCATCTATTCGAAAGAA